CTTAAAAATCGGTTTGTAATTTTTTTTGTTCAAATTATTTTTTTTTTATAAAAAATGGTATTTCTTGCTTTTAAGTATTTTTCTCAAATTTTTATATACGAAGTATACAAATAGGCTTACCAGAAGAAAGGGGATTTAATCGCCTTTAAAATGATACCAAATTTTTTAAAATCGGTTTATAATTTTTTTTGTGCTGGTAATGAGAAGTAGATTATTTACATCAATGTGGAACACAAATGCTCTTGGTCTGACATGAAGACTGACCTCAAACTACTTCAAGAGCACAACTTCAACAAAGCAAGGTTACGCTCTCGGTATGGTGCAGGAAGCAAGCAATCTATTCGAATGTTTACGGTCGGTAATTGAACAGTTTAAATGCATATCTCTTCCACAAACGTTCAGAGTTGACCAATAGTCCATCCATCACCTTGAGAGCCTGTTGAAAATTAATTGGAGCTATGATAGAATTTGTCCGTCACACCCATTATACTCGCCTGACCTTGCCCGTCGGACTTCCACTTGTTTCGCTCTCTTCAAAGGAAATCAATTAAGCCGCTTCTGAGAAACATACGTTTCATAGTATGTGGGCAGTACCACGCCTATTTTCTAAAATCCTACTGCTTGGATAATTTGGCTTCAGTACTATATACATACATACTATTTCATTGAGATATGTATTCCTTTCCTTTTTCCTTAATATGCATATGCCTCTATCTTGCTCAAATAATTTAGGTGCCTACAAAAAACCATAACGCGAACAAAGTGTATAAGTGTGCTAGGATATAAAAATCTAAAGTTCACCGAATAAATCGTTAGATGTTTCAAACTAATCGATTTTCGAACTTCTAAAACGATTTTTTAGACCCGAAACCCATCAAAGCTCAACTAAAGCTAGAAAAAGTAAAGCTCAAAAGGGGAACATTGTACGCAATAATATTAGTCAAATATGTAATTGAACAAAATAATTTCATATTACTCTTATTAACCCTTTTTCGCCAATTTTTCTCAACTCTTTCCTTAAATAAATAGTGAAATATAAGTATCTTATTTATGTGCTATGTACATTAGACCGGGTCGTTGACAATACAAAATAGAGTAGTTAGTAATTACCCTCTAGTAAGAAAGTTTACTTTGAGCATTTATGTTTCATAAAGTTGTTTGTCCTACACCGGTCCTAAAAACAGCCAAAATCTGTTTTTTTTCTTCCCCTGTACTTAGTTTACTATTCGAAGAAAGAAATTTAGGTAGACAGGGGTCCTCATGCATAAAAGACGAGCTTAAGCTCAGACTAAGTTTTTCACTTATGAAGTGAGCGCCAACTCAAGTATTTGTACCGAAAATCGAGTAGGAGCTTTTAAGCTCACTTTTTATACAAGAGGCCCACGATTTTAGAGCAATAAATAGTACTTGAAAATACGAAATATATAACGAGATAAAACACTTAAAAATCGGTTTAATGATATATGTATGTGAGAAAACGTGCTAAGGACATAATTTTGTATGCCGCTAAAATCCTCTACAAGTAAGCTATCAAGCTAATTGTGCAATAACAAATCTTGCGAACCGGTATAATATATGTACATACGTGCATACCTACATCCATCATAATGCAGTTAGCATGGGTGTTCTAATAATGCCCAAGGCCAATTACTTTTAATTAATTTGAGACATTAAACAGTTTTCAACCACTCTGTTTTAATTAGATATTTTACTCCAACTATAAAAACTAACTAACTCCAGAAGTTAGTCGCAAGCTACGCACTGCGGGAGAAGCATTTTTTCAAGGCAATGCAGCTAAGAAATATTTCCTTCCACTCAGTGGTACTATGAATGTAACCGCGGTGATACTGCAAAACGTTAATTGATTTGTTATCTGTATCTGATCGCTTCTGGCAATCGTTCATCTTCATCAGCCAATGGTAGACAGTTTTGTCATTCGTTTACTAGGGTGCAAAGCTGTAAAATGATTGAATCAGTAGGATCTGCATTCACTTAGCACTCCTTTCAAAATTTTGATTGTTTGGCTGTATAAAAAAAAAACTCATTCCTGAGTGGCTTAAATTATTTTGAAACAAAAACAAACGTAATGTGTTGTTGAATGGCAGAGTTCCATTCAGTATAGAATGTGAATGTAACAAAAGTATTCGCAATCATCGTGATTGTAAATTTTGGTTGAATGCAATCAGTTTTGATCATTCAGTACTACACTGAAAAAATATGCCTTGAAGAAAATATTTATAGGAGACAATAGTCGTTTTACTTCTGCTTTTCTACTACTGCTACAATTTGGTAAAGTATTACCTAAGACCAGAAGTACGTACCAGCTTTGGATATTCTGTTAATGCTGTTTAAAACCAACTGAATGTTTTTGAAGGAAACTTGCGTTAACGAACTAAATTTTTATTTGTACAAAGCAAGGTACATTGAACAGGTAGTATCAGTAGAGCAGCTGATTGGATTTATTTTCAAATTATTTGGTCTCGAAAATGTCAAATATTTTTAATTTTTTCTCACGAAAATTATAAGTTGTTAAAATCCATTTGCTTGTGAAACCTTTTTCCATACAAAACAAGCGATTGAATAGCAGCTTTTGGAACGTTCGCCCAACTCGGCAGCACGACCGCTGATTACTGGGCCTTGCAAAGGATGGATCAATGCTTCGAGAAGCAAACAAATTTACTAGGAAAGAAAGTTGCATCAATTTTTATTTTTTCCAATTTCAATTTTTTATTTTTTATAATTTTGTGTATTTCACATGGCACGCTTTGATTTAGAAGAAAAAATTGAGAACAGTTGTTGACACTTTCGATACCAGAAGCAACAACAAAATACACGCAAATGTTGTTTTTGCTCTACTGATACTACCTGGTGTATGTGCTTGATTATTTCATGTTCTGTAGATTTTCCAATCTTTAAACTAAAACGAGTCAGCGGTTTAAGGCCCCATAACCTCCGTCTTAAAAATTGCAGGAAAGCGGACAACCTCACTGTTGTTTGATGGGTGAATGGGAAGGAGCGGATATTGGAGCATCTCATTTGATTATTTGTTCTGATTTGGCCAATTGGTATGCGAAACCGTTAACTGGAGCGAAGTTGCAGAGCGCAACTGGTAAGCACACTCAAGTGTTAGGAGAAGTACCCTGTGAAGAAATATTCGAGGGTGTAGCCGCGTACCCCAAGTTTATAGTGGCTGTATAGATAATATAAATACGAATGTTTCATGTACATACATATATCAATGTCCGACAAAATTTAACTTTTTTGACACCCAGGAAAAAGTGAAGCATTTTCGGAAAGCAGAGACCCGTACCCGTATTTTTCCTTTTTTCTAGATCAACTCATTTATGGTTTCTATGGGGAATCGGTCAATAAGGGCTTCACGTCTAAACCACGGTTTAACTGGTAAGGTACATATAAGGTAGTCCACTTAGACAGGCTTGCAGCATTTGGAGAAGAACGGGACCATCAGGCTGATGTAGGTGGAATGTACTGTGGCGAATACTGCAAAACACGAATGGCAGTCCAAAACGAACAAGAGAATGGAAGAATGCGCGATAAAAGATGTAGAAGCTCTGAAATCGAGAAACGTCAAATGGAATGTACGATAGAGTTGAAAATTGTGTTGATAATTTGGAAATAAATAAATGCGTCATTCCCTCCAAAAAATGCCAGCGTCCGAACAAGCAAAAAACAAAAAACCTGGCAGCACTTGCATGTTTATAGCAGAGACCGCAACCTTGGAAAATAGACAATAGATGTCACTTTGTTAACAACAATTAATGAACAATTAACTAATTCTGATTGGCTACATACAATAGCTTTATGCCGCCAGAAGCGCACAATAATATATTTCACAAGAGCAAACTTTTTTTGGTTAAAAAAACTGCAAACTAATGCCATTTATTCTATCTGACGTGTCCTTCTATATAGGCAGCACTGTTCGTGAGTCAGCGAACCTTTGGCCCAGTGGTGTATTTTGTTCGTATCAACTTTTTAATATTCTATGGCTCAATACACGCAACAAATTTAGACATATTTCGATTAAATATTAGATACACACAGAAAATGTACTCCCAAAGTGTCTCTTTAATTAAAATATGTTCTTTAAGTGACCGAATCTTTAGCAACATAAGAAATATAGGCTCTTTTGATTTCAAAAGTCTCTATAAAATAATGATACCCTGAATTACAACTCTACCTCTGTCGGTACTTCGCCGCTGCGGCAGCACGAACGTCGACTGCCGTCAACGAACCTTCGCCACACGGGAAAAAGAATCGTTTGCGTTCGCCGTCTACCGCCTTCGTTGCAAAGTGAAAAGTTTTCCTGCGTGTTTCAGTGATTTTACCATAAAGAATATTTAAAGTTTCTCATACATTTAGATAAATAAGTAAAAAGTGTTGCAATAATTATGGCCGATTCCAAGGGGTGAGTGCAAAGTTTTATATCTCGACAGTTCTGAAAAGCCGACAAAGCGTTTTGTCAAAATGAGGTGGCGCTGCAGAGGCTACGACTGAGACTCCGCTGCCAGCTTCAATTTCGCGTTGTCATTGCCTATGAAACTTATTTAAATTTAATGAAATCGTGCACAAAATAGCAACAGGATAATACAATTTCACTATTTTCATACCAGCGACTTGATAAATTACTCGATTGCATTTGTCCAAGATTTTAGGAAAATAACCTCTAAACAAAGATATGCGATGCAGCACAATGGTTGCGGCGTCAACTCTTTTATCTCCATACGCCATTTGCTCTGCCAGTAATTATCCATTAAAAGCAGTTCGGCCATCCACTGTGCGTTTAGCAATAGTAAATATGTTTAAAAAAAAATCCACCCTGTTTTCAAGTTTTCAAAATGTTTTGAGATATCTTTCAAATTAAAATTTGAAGCCGTCAATTTTATTGCGACATATACTTAAATAGTTTTATTAGATACTTTTTAAACAAAAAAAAAAAAATAATTGTCTGAAATAGAAATAAAACTACCATAAATAATCGGAAACAGAGAAGAGAAATGGCTAGTGGCAGCAGCGATGAACACTCTGGTAGTGGGGGTAACAGTGGACGCCGCCATGTACCATTTAATTGGGGGGGTCCCGATCCAGAAGATGATGGTTGCGACGATCTGATGGACGCTGACCAAGATTTATCAAACTACGTACACAAATATCGCCATGATCAGGAGCAAAGTTTGAAAAAGACTCAGGGCTCCCTTTATTTACCACCACCGAATTCGGCCGAAACTAATAAAAAGGGTGATAAAGGAAATGACTTACCTTCTAGAGGAAAAAATTTTCCTATCAGAGCACATGCTCCCAATGAAAAGCGGTGTGAAAGATTCTTAATATATAAAACGCTAGTCTGTATTTCCAAACAAAATATGAATACTTATGTGATTCTTCTTTTTTAGTGACGATTTAGCTACCGCAATCCTGAAACGCAAGGACCGCCCAAACCGTTTAATCGTTGAGGAAGCTGTGAATGATGATAACTCGGTGGTGTCTTTGTCTCAAGTTAGTTTTCAAAATTAAAACGTACTATTGTATTTATGTATGTATATTATTTAACTACACACTTGCCTTCTTAAGCTTCTTAGTCACAGTTTACATACATATAAACACACAAGCACATACATATGTCAGCCATTTTCTTTTATAGATGTTATGAAAGATATGTTTTATGCTCAAATTTATCATTTCATAATGTATATCTCTTAGAAGTCCCAAAAATTCTGCATTTACACTAAATAATACAATATGTACTTTGTTCAGGAAAAAATGGACGAATTGCAATTGTTTCGTGGCGATACGGTAATTCTTAAGGGTAAGCGGCGCAAGGAGACCGTTTGCATTGTTTTATCGGATGAAAATTGTCCTAATGAGAAAATTCGCATGAATCGTGTTGTACGCAACAACCTGTGCGTGCATTTGTCCGATGTGGTATCCATTCAATCATGTCCGGATGTCAAATACGGAAAGCGTGTTCGAATTTTGCCTATCGATGATACCGCAGAGGGCGTAACAGGCAACCTATTTGAGATCTACTTGAAGCCCTATTTCTTGGAGGCCTACCGGCCTATTCACATGGGCGATAACTTTATTGTTCGCGCTGCTATGCGTCCCATAGAATTTAAAGTTGTGCTAACCGACCCTGAGCCGTATTGTATTGTGGCACCTGAAACGGTGATCTTTTGTGATGGCGATCCGATTAAACGTGAGGTAAGTTATTAAAATCTTATAAATACATATTCGTACATATATGAGATCATCTAATACTTCAATTAATAACTCTAAAGGAGGAAGAGGAATCGCTAAATGCTGTCGGTTATGACGATATTGGCGGTTGCCGCAAGCAGTTAGCCCAAATTAAGGAAATGGTTGAGCTGCCACTTCGCCATCCTTCGCTTTTCAAGGCTATTGGTGTGAAACCACCACGAGGTATTCTTATGTACGGCCCACCAGGTACAGGAAAAACTTTAATAGCACGCGCTGTCGCCAATGAGACTGGTGCATTTTTCTTCCTCATAAACGGTCCTGAAATTATGTCTAAACTGGCCGGTGAGTCCGAGTCAAACTTGCGTAAGGCTTTCGAAGAAGCTGAAAAGAACTCGCCCGCTATTATTTTCATTGATGAAATTGACGCTATCGCACCTAAGCGTGACAAAACACATGGTGAAGTAGAACGTCGTATTGTGTCTCAATTGCTAACCCTTATGGATGGCATGAAGAAGAGCTCACATCTGATTGTTATGGCCGCCACCAACAGGCCAAACTCTATTGATCCTGCCTTGCGTCGTTTTGGACGTTTCGATCGAGAAATAGATATTGGCATTCCTGATGCCACTGGACGTTTGGAAGTTTTGCGAATTCACACCAAAAATATGAAATTGCATGAAGACGTTGATTTAGAACAAATTGCCGCGGAAACTCACGGTCATGTGGGTGCTGATTTAGCTTCGCTTTGTTCGGAAGCTGCTTTGCAACAAATTCGTGAAAAGATGGACCTTATCGATTTGGAAGACGATAAAATTGATGCCGAAGTATTGGCCTCCTTGGCAGTAACAATGGAGAACTTCCGTTATGCTATGACCAAATCGAGCCCGTCGGCATTGCGTGAAACTGTGGTGGAAGTACCCAACACTACCTGGACGGATATCGGTGGTCTGGAGAGTGTCAAGAAGGAATTGCAAGAACTGGTGCAATACCCAGTCGAACATCCAGATAAGTTCTTGAAGTTTGGCATGCAACCAAGTCGCGGTGTACTATTCTACGGACCACCTGGTTGTGGTAAGTTGCAAATGTATCATTTGAATGCAGTGTAGTCGCTTATTGGCTATCCGATTCCATAGGTAAAACTCTACTTGCAAAGGCCATTGCTAACGAGTGTCAGGCCAATTTCATTTCGGTTAAAGGACCAGAGCTGCTTACTATGTGGTTTGGTGAGTCCGAAGCCAATGTTCGAGACATTTTTGATAAGGCACGTTCAGCAGCACCTTGTGTGTTGTTCTTCGACGAGCTGGACTCTATTGCTAAGGCACGTGGCGGCAATGTGGGCGACGCTGGAGGTGCTGCCGACCGTGTAATTAACCAAATTCTTACCGAAATGGACGGAATGGGTGCTAAGAAGAACGTTTTCATCATTGGTGCCACCAATCGTCCCGACATTATCGATCCGGCTATCTTGCGTCCTGGCCGTTTAGATCAACTTATTTATATTCCACTTCCCGACGATAAGTCGCGTGAAGCTATCCTTAAGGCTAACTTACGCAAATCACCATTGGCTAAGGATGTCAATCTAACCTACATTGCTAAGGTGACACAAGGCTTTTCGGGTGCTGATTTGACTGAAATTTGTCAGCGTGCCTGTAAATTGGCAATTCGGCAAGCGATTGAAGCCGAAGTAAAACGAGAAAAAGAGCGTGCTGAAAAGCAAACCATGGAAGTAAGAGTTGAAAATCATATGCTATTTTAAATGTGAGTTCACGATTTTTGAACCTTTAGATGGATGAAGATGATCCAGTACCAGAGATCACACGTGCACACTTTGAGGAAGCGATGAAGTTCGCTAGGCGCTCAGTATCGGACAACGATATTCGGAAATACGAAATGTTTGCACAGACTTTGCAACAATCGCGTGGCTTCGGACAGAACTTTAGGTAAGAACTTAATTTAGTTGGTTTGCTATGCAAATACGACATAACTGTTTTTCTTATTTAAATATAAAGATTCCCGGGCGCTGGCAGCACTTCACAAGGTTCCGGGCCAAATGAACCAGCGAATCCGCCAGGTGACAATGGCGACGACGATCTTTACAGTTAGATTTTTAGTTTTAAAATCAATGAATATAAAACAAACCCAATTTTGTCAAATTGAAGTATGCTTAAACAAGATAAACAATTTATAATTTGAATAAAACCAAAACTAAAAAAAAACAAAAAAAAAAACATGAAATGAAAGACAACTAAGCCAGATGTTATCTGCTGAGTCGCCAGTCTACATATAGCGATTATAAGAACTTTATTAGTAGTGCGAAAGATTTATAAGTGGCTGCTTAAGATACATACATATTATGAAATGCAAATGAGAATGGATATTCGCTGCATTAAAAAAGCACTGTCGTAAACATCTCATGCACATGCATACATATATATATATACACGTAGTAAATCAAGCGTACCCGCATAAATAATTTTAACAGTGCAAGGAATGGAGTTTTTAAAAATATGAAAGTGGAACAATAAAACTTAGTCGACATAAAAAGAG